ATTAAAAATAATAAATAAATAAAAATATTATTAAATTATTATTATAATAAAAAAAGGGAAAAGGTATGCAAAAAAAAAAGAAGAGAAGAAGAAGAATAAAATTGCTTTCGGCCGCCCACAACAATCGTTGTATATAATAATAATATAAAAAAAAGGGGAGAGAGAGAAAAAGAAGAAATAATAAAAAAAATGTGTGGGACCCACTGAATTTTTATAAAAACTCACCAGTTCCTTCATTTCTTCATTCCTTCTTTCGTGCATGAGCTGAGGCAGAGAGAGCATCTGTAAGCCAAGTTCACCGGTGCTGGGTTTTAAAGTAAGAATTTTTAATAGGATATTTAGGGTGTGATTTTAAGCTTTTCAAGACTAAGTAAATGTTCTAAAATTTTTTCTTAGTCATCCTTCTTCTTTGGTTTCTGAGTTTGTAGTGGTAAAAAATTTAAGATCTGGAAGAGGGATGAATTTATGTTGAATAAATATGATTTTTGAGGTTGTCAGTAATATAATAAATGTTCTAGAGTATAAATTTATTAATGATCTTTGAATTTGTGGCTTGTGGATCAAATTCTAAACTAGATCTGAAAATATATGTTGATTTATTGAGGTTTAGATGATTATTTGGGATGAGAAATGAATTATTATGGTTATAGGATTATGATTCTAAGCTAGAGACTCAATTTTTAATTTTTGGGTATTTTAGGTACGAATTTATGAAATAAAAAGAAAATTTTGATAATAGAAATTAGTTTAGAAGTTGATTTTTAGATTATTAATGTTTATTGATAATTAAAAGAGGAGTTAAAAATTTTACTTAATAGTATTAACAATAGATTTGTATTAAGATTGAGATTAAGAATTATGTTATATTTTTAATTCTATTATTAGAATTATTTTATTAGTTTCAAAAATTGAAACTAATATTTATAAATAACATGTTATTTGTAGATTGTATTACTGGTGAAGATTGTGGTGAGAGAGAAATTTTAAGGAATAATTTATTGAAAAAGCCACAAGGTAACCATGCTTTTAATTTGTGATTAGTGTTACTTCATGTTAATTGGGTGATTATTGAGAAAATTATGAATTTTGTAATATTGTATAATCGTGCAATATTATTATGAATTTGTTTGATTATTGTGGGAGGTGTTGAGAGACTTGCTATTATTGTTGTATTTATGTGCCACGTGATACGCCCCTATTGGAGCTCAATAGGTGGCTTGTAAGGGTTCGAGCTAATCTACCTTTGGCCGGGTAATTTAGCACCGAGTGAGGGCTACGGCTCGAGGTTAATGGAGGGATATAAGGATGGTTGTTTGTGTGTGTTGTAATATTTCTTATATTTGTTGGAATTATATTATTTTTAATTCTCACTTAGTAAGCACACACTTAACTGTTTGTATACACTATCATAAATTGGCTTTGATTACTGAGACTTTTGAGTCTCATTATGTGGTTAACAATTTTTAGGAGAAGAGCCACAAGTGACACGTGGAGGAGTCCCAGAGGCTTAGTGGTATAAATCCACTATCTCTTTTGGGTATTTAATTTATGATTTATAATATGTTATATTGCCAATATTAGGGCTTTTTGTTTATTGTCAATTACATAAATATATAAATGTAATCATGCCTTTCAAACTATTTCTATTTTTGGTACAATTTGGATGACTGTAATTTTAATATTTGATTTACTTTGGATTGGTTAAAATGGCATGATTATAAGGCCAAATAACTGGCTTGTGTTTAAAATTGACTAAATTGCTTATTTTACTTGTTGGGAGTATAAGGATGGACAAATGTGATTTAGTTTACTTGTTGGGAGTATAAAGATGGACAAATGTGATTTAGCCTAATGGCATGTGGGAGGTAAAAATTTATCTAAAATGTTATAGTGTGTAAGTTGAAGCCAATTATAAAATATTTTATATTGAAATTATTGATATAAAAATTTAAGTCAAGTGACTCAGTGGTACCAGATTCAGCCTGAACTACGCTAAGGTGGTAGTGGTTGCGGGATCGAATCTGGGAAGGTTCCAAAAGACCTCAGTTAGGCGGGGTGAGGAATATGCTCAGTACCACCTGGGCTAAAGCCGGCATTACCTTGTGAGAGGGAAGTGTCCAGCACCTGAGAAAAGATCCTGGAGAGGCAGTGGTGACCCAGGAGGGCTGTTATATAAGTAACAAAACAAGTCATTTAAAGGTATGTTTGAGAGTGCAAGATGAAATGAAAATAAATGATCATTAATGAAATAAAGTAAGAAGTATAATGGAATAAAACATTATATTATTTAGAAATTCTATTAGAAAAATAAATAATTTTATTTAATCATTATTTAAGAATAATTATAAAATTAATAGATTTAGAGTAGGTCATAATAATGTTTTCTGGACTCAGGCCGAGAGAAAAGTGAAAGAATGAGATGGGGTAAAAAGAATGAGGACAGTTTTGTAATAATATTAATCATGTTATGCTATTTTACCATCGATGCCCAAATCATGAGGTCTATGAAAGGCCACCCCAAGTTATTCAATTCTCTTTTAAAAAATATCTCATAAACAATGGTATAATACTTTCACCCAACACACTCCATTCAATTACATTCCCAAAAAAAAAAAAAACTTCCAAATGCTGCAAAAAGGTCGTGTCATTTTGAGGGATCTTCTAAAAACATTAACAGTAATTACTTTGCGTGGAAACAGTTATATGCCTTATTTATTAACTGTCACTGCATGTTTAGAAGGTGGGGACGTACCTGTGGCATTAGAAACTTATTTGGATAATTTTTAAAAATATATTCAAACCATATTTAAAATATTTTTTTGAGCACGAAATATATTTTTTATTAAATTCAACAAATAATTAGACCTACTAAATGTACTTTTAGCACATGTAAACTGAAATCCAAACGGATAGTAGAAGTGTCTCATTTTTCCTTTATCACTATAAGATCAAAACTCTTCAACAATAATATTTAATATTGTTGATAAAAAATAATATTTAATATTTGATAAAATTATTATTATTATTAATTTTATATAAAAATATATAAATAAGTCTGAACTATTAAAATTTGATCTAAACAATTTAAAATTATAATATTTTATTTATATATTTTATAAAATTATAATAAAATTTTTATTAAATATTAAATAGAATTATTGAAATTTTGATATAATGGTGATAACAAAAAAAGAAATGGAAAACAAAGACAAAGGAGGGAGAGAAAAGAAGGGCTGGGTTGTGGCAGCCTCTAAACTCAGGTGTGAGGTGTCACGTAGGCACCGGTCGAAGTCGCAAGACTATATGCATTGGGCTTTCAATAAAAGCCTGATAAGAATTACTAGTTGTCACTGGTTAGTGCTTAAAAGCTCATTTGATTAACTCTTTAAAACATATTTAAATTATATTTAAAATATTTTTATCAAATTTAATAAATAATTGAATCCCTCAAATATACTTTTATCAAATGTGAACTAAAAATTAAACACATGCTTAGATGATTGATTGTTAAATCGTGTGTGCCATTCCAACTTATGTAAAATGCTCGTACTTGATCCATAAAGGGGACTTTAAAAAAGATTACAAGTATTGCCATGTACACATGAAATTATCCCATCAAAATTAAAGAGAGTTAGGTGTATTCGTGATGATACCTAAAAAATATTTTTTATTCATTTTTATTAAATGTATCATATTTAAAAATGATTTTCTCATATCCTTCACTCTACTTATTAAAAATTATAAAAGGATAAACTTAAGGAGAAAATGACACTAAAATCATTTTGAATTATCCAAATGACATTTTAATCCCTCTAAATACGCCCGAAGTCCTTATAAACTTTTTTGTCACTAAGAAATTAATATAAAAGTCTAAATTTTCGTGATTCAAATAAAGATTTCAAACTTCATAATAAATACTTAGAAACTTATGAATTGCTATTAAATTCTTGAAATTTTAGAAAGAAAAATTGTGAATATTATAACAAATTTTATGGATGAAAATTGATATTTGCAACACTTGAGGAATATCAAGATTTCAAATGTGAATTTATGAATTGCTATTAAATTTTTGTGAATTTGAGAAAAAAAGTTGCAAATCTTATAACAAAATTTATGAATGGTAGTTGATATTTGCAACAATTAAGAAATATTAAAATTTTAAAGGTGAAATTGTGAATTATTTGTTGAATTCTTGCAAATTAAAAAAAATTGTGAATCTTAAAATAAAACTTGTGAATGACAATTGATATTTACAACATTTAAAGAATATCAGGATTTCAAATGCAAACTTATAAATTGTTATTAAATTCTTGCTATTTAAAAAAATTATAAATTTTAAAATAAAACTTATAAATTAAGGGTACGAAGTATTTGTTTTGAGGTTTGAGATTTTTAATTCAATTAAGAGTAATTTAATCTTTTATATTAATTTTTTAATGATAAAAAATCTCTAATAACTTCAAGAGGATTATAATATTTTGAGAGATCAAAACATCATTTACATAATTTAAAGAGATTTTATTGTTATTTTTTAAAAAATTTAAAAAAGGTAGTTAATTATTCATTTTATACAAAATAACAAATAAAAAATATTATTTTTTTTAAGAATTATATATATATCTAATCAGGGAGAACAATTTATGAATGGTGTGTTGATAAAGAGATTAAGAATAATTTTTTATCCTCCAAGACAAAAAAATAAAATAATTTATTCAGTAATAAGTCTCAAAACATAAATATTATTTTAAAAAATAAAAAATAAAGATATTTTTTAAATGTTTTGAGATTATTGTCCTATAAAATAAAAAATATATTATTATTATTATTATTATTATTTTATTATATATATTTTATAAAATATTAATTTTTAAAATAATAAAATGAAAATAAATTTACCAGCTTTGTTGTTATTATTATTATTATTTTGTTAAAGAAAGAATTATTCATTTGATAAATAATTTGATGAAAAGAAACGAGTTGGTGACTAGGTCGTGCTCACTCCACCTCTCTCGGTGGGCCTCAGATTGACGCTGTGTTTCTCCTCTGCACAGATTCATAGCGCTTCACATTCTCTCTCCATAAACGCGTAAGCGAGTCAACTCCTTCTAAAACTCAGATCTGGAGCCTGATGAACCCGGATATGTCATCCCCGACAGGATCGTATTGGTGCTATAGATGCACCCGATTTGTTCGCCTTTCGCATGCTCAGGATCATATTGCTTGTCCCTGCTGTCGAAGCGGCTTCCTGGAAGAGATCCCGATCAACCCATCTCCATCTTCGTCTATGTCCATCTTCACCCTTGAACCTCAAAATTCCTTCAATTTAAGGAGACAAGGGTTCCGGAGAAGACGCCGCAATGCCGGCAGCCACTCTTCCTTTAACCCAGTGATTGCTCTCCGCGGACCTGCCCATGGCGGTGTCGCGGAAGAGAGCGGAGATCGCGAAGGAAGTGGTAGCTTCCAATTGTACTATGATGACAATGATGGTTCCGGTCTGCAACCATTACCGCCGAATATGTCGGAGTTCTTGCTCGGGTCAGGATTCGATCAGGTGTTGGAGCAGATTTCACAGATCGAAAATAATGGTCTCGGGCGGCTGGGGAACCTACCGGCGTCCAAAATGGCCATTGGATCGATGCCGACGATTGAGATAGGGGAGCAACATGTGAGTACGGACATACACTGTGCCATTTGTAAAGAAGCATTTGAGCTAGGTTCAAAGGCATCTGAAATGCCTTGCAAGCACATCTACCATTCGGATTGCATTGTTCCGTGGCTTTCAATGTGCAATTCGTGTCCTGTATGTCGCAATGAGCTGCCTTCGGATAGAAACCACTTGGAAAGTAGAGTCTCAAGGCAAATCGATGAAGAAACAATAGGATTTACGATATGGAGGCTACCAGGTGGGGGCTTCGCCGTAGGAAGGTTTCCTCATGGTCGCGTTGATGGGGAGAGTCATTTGCCAGTTGTATACACAGAAATGGACGGTGTGGTTAGTGCAAATGGCGTTCCTAGAAGAGTTTCCCGGGCAATGAGAAATATTAGACTTAGCGAAAGTCGTGGATTGAGGAGAATATTTCGCAGTTTCTTGGCATTCTTCGGGAGGCTTGGATCTAGGTCAACATCCTCCTCCTCTTCATATTCCATTTCTCAGAATGGACCCCTGAGTGGAAGCCTCAGGCAATTAAGTTCAGTATTCAATAGGAACTCGCAGAGCCGAAGTAGAGATTGGGTAGTGGAAGATATATAGAATAACTTTAGCAGTATTTGAAAAGAAAAATAATAATTAAAGCATACACTTCCAGTCAAGAAATTTACACTGCAAATATATCATAGAATTCTTAACTATGAATTGTCGAAGGATGAAACGTGATGGGAGAGCTGGTCTCTTGACGATTGGTTTCCTGAGAATGAGATGCCAAGTTTTCTTGTTCGGTGAAAATACTCATTAAAGGGTGCAATTTTGCACTTGAAAGTTGATAAAGAGTTGTTGTAGATGGAAAAACAAGTATATGTTACAATACGAATTGAGCCCGGCTGTCGCAGAGTAGTACACAGGGCATAATTGAGAAGGATGAAATGCAATTTTATTCCTCGCGTGCCTAAATTATGGATTCGTTTATATCATGTTTTATTTAGTTGCTTGTTTCTTGTTATTGATTACTGTCCAGTCGACATTGTTTTATGAGCTCCATTTCAACTTGTAGCGTCATTGTGGTGCTTCAAATTGGGTAAGCTAATCTAATTTTGGGATGACTAGTTTAAGGGAGCCAATTAACTTTGACACTTTCTTTTGGACCCTGCTCTGTGATCTTTGACCAAGAAAGAAAATAATTAGCCATAGAATTTTGAAGTTATGTCAATATTGTCGCTTTCAATACCCTTTGGCCCGACTCAGCCATAACTGTGACAATGAGAGTTGCAAACACAATCAAGTTAGTCATTCAGTCTCCTTTTATTCTGTGCCAATCTTCCAATTGTTATCTGCCACATACGAAGCACAAGAAGTCACGTTCTCCCATTGCTAAAAAAATAATTGTTGTATTTATAATCGGTCGCATCTATCGGACCCTAGAAGACCATTCTGAGAGCTTTAACCCAATGGCATAAGGCTACAAAACTTGTTTCATTCGCAGAGGGCATGTCAATGGCCCAAAACTCTAGCGCAACGTGGTTGTTTTCCCTATTACGTCCTCCACGCTTATAAGAAATGCTAAACCAGACAACGATTAGACAAAAGTTCAACAATAATACCATCCTCTTTTAGCGCAGCTAAGGTAGTTCTCTGCCATTTGTCTCTACCTTTTGTTTCTCATTTCTCACAAGCTTGTTTAAGTTAGGAAGATGTGGTTCTTGCTAGAGAGTAGAGGACAATATTGCTTTGTTCTACTCTCTTGTTTAACTTCACGTTCCCTCCTTCGCAGACATTGCTCATTGCTATACTTTCGTTTTTGACTTCTTTCAGTCATTCATTGATGATGACATGGTCTGTTTTAATATGAAATTAGCGTCTTGCTGCTGCCACTTTTATTCAAACACACTCCAATAAAACCAAAAAAAATTCTTTTGGATCTTCCATTTCATCGTTAGTCTTTCCTTTGAGCTCAAGTTTATGCTTCTCTCTTGAGGGTTGCATTAAAGTGAACCATACATTGTCACTTACTCCAAATTACTATTGCTTGTCTCTGTAAATGATTGTTATACTATTATTGCACAAAACATAAGTGATCAATAGCCATGGCTCATTTGTAGCTCCCAGCTGATAGCGATGGGGGTAGATTATCATGGAATGGATTATTGGATTGGCCATCCTGCATAACTCTGCCTTACTCAAACTCAGAGTGATGCGTCCAACTTCACAAGTGTTTTCTCGAGAGGATATCTCTTCTGTCAGGTTCCCAACCTTTGGTCAAGAGTTTCTCTCATATCCTTCATTGTTATCATCATCATCCCTAGGCACAAGGAACGTTACAAGCAAGTTCCCGCATATTCTAATCTTCTAAGGTAGAACCAATGAAAGGGAAAAAATTCAGGCATTAGCTGCCTACAATTGAACACAGGAAAGTGGTAGGATTTTGATTTGGACAGTGTTGTTCTTGCACCAGCTCTTTAGACAAAAAAATGGCTCAGAGGCCTTTGACAGCAGACAAACCACCCATAAGCAGTAGTCCATTATCTATCTGTTGGCCCCTTTTTTCCCTGTGAATCTTGGTTAATAAAGAAAATATTTCTTTGCTCTGCCTTCAATGGCAATTTCGCGGCATTTTCTTCGGGAAGCTACAAAGAATGCTATCGGCACCACTGACTTCCATTACTTCCGTTTTTTTCATTAGAAAATTGTAGTTTTCTCCTCGTTTCCCTCGAATTGCACTGAAATACGAACAATATAACTAAAGAATTGAATCACCTGACATAAACCTCAAGCAGGTGCAGCTTGTTGGCCCATAGCCCATACCGGTTTTGGAGCTATGTCACTTACAGAGCATCCTATGCGTTCTATGTTGCATTCAGCAACAAGAGAAGATGGGATCAAACCTATACTGTATGCTGATAAGATGAAATTACATTTTCAGCTCGTTTTCCCCAATGGCTCGTTCTGTGATCAATTAGAAGAAAAATACTTCAATCCAGCATAACGCTGCATAGACGCAGATGAAACTAGACAGTTGGTGATTAGCAAGGCTGTAAATTAACTCAGAAGCTGGCATTCATGCATTGTCTAGTGACAAGTAGCCATTAACACTGACGATCATCCCTTGTTTAATAAATTAAGCATTGATCACCATAAAATTATGGGTGAAAAATCGAAGAAGATTATTACACAGAGGGAAGGGGGGGAGAAACAGGGACATGCTTTCGCATATTAAAGACTTTTTTGAGGATTCTTAACCGAAAGCAAAACAAAGGCTCGGTGGTTGATGATGGATGATAATATCACATGAAGAATATGAGTATAAATCAAGGCTAGAAGAGGAGTATGGCTAAAACATGAAAGTTTTTTAGGCAATGTGTAAACCACAGAAGTCATACCACTTAATCCGTAATTACAATGGAACCATAAATCTAGAGATATTGAAAGAAAAGAAAGAGGAAAGGATCTCTGGGAGATGGAAAGTTTTTGGCTCAAGAATCGCGGTGCTTGTGCCAGCAAACTAACATGGCGACACGGCGTCTCATAATGTAAAATCTGGCTTTATGTTACTTAGCTAAATCGGTGCATTTGCGGGCGACAGAGGCGTTCTTTTGGGAATAGCTCCGGGGAAGATTGTATATGGACGATGGAGCCTTGTGAGATAAGCTCCGGAGGAGAGGGGAGTTTGAAGTGGAGGTGTTGCTTGGGAATAATGGCAGGGTGGAGCCATGGCTGCTCGAACCTGATTCTTTGTTGGATACCTTACACTTTGGGTCCATCCTGGATGCACAATTTCACAGCTACTACTAGCTATTATATATACATATATATAAACCACCTTGGCCCAATGAGATAGGTAAGAGACGGGGCAGAGTTGCATCTCCCTGGGCGGAGGTTGTATAAATAACGGCTATCAATAAGTACGTCAATAATTAATGCGTACATTTTTCAGGGCATATTGGATAGTGCGTCAAGCTGTGCAAGATAATGTACTTGCTCCGAAGTTTAGTCTCGTATACTCCATGAACCAGCATGTTATATGTCGGCAAAATGCAACGTTTACTGGCTCTCGTACCAAAAAAACGTCAGTAATTAATATCGTATACTTGAGCATCAGTGCCTGTGGTATGTCCAGTCTTCACGTAGGTTCAGTGATAAGTAAATTAATGTCATGAATTAACTTATACGTTAACTGGTTTCATATTTATAATTTCAATAATGTACGAGTATTTCTCAAATTGGTCTTATATGTTAAAAAGAATAAAATATTCTACATGCTGGCTCTCAAGTTTAGTACTTTAGTATATGGATAAGGAAAAGCATAACGTTTAATTTCTATAATTTTATCAAGTTTTACTTTTACCTTTTGTAGGTTTTTTTCAATATTTTTTAATCTTTATATGGACTAAAAACACTAAAAAATTAAAAGTATAAGAACTTAAAAAACAAACATCATCCAATTTTTTAAAAACTATAAGAACTGAAAATATTAAAAAAATTTAAAAGCAAAACTTGATGAAATTATTGGGACCAATGATTATGTATTTCTTATAAATAATTAGAGTATTAATTTAAAAAAGGAGAAATCTCTTGTACCGTTAATAAATAGAGGTATCAATAAGAATTGACCCAATCTTTATGGGCCTTGTCTTTAGGTGCTCAATCAGTTAATCTCATAATTCCTCTCACCCTAAAAGTTAGCATTTCTCTCAAGTTTTGCTTTTATTAATAACTTGGCTTAGGGCCTGGCCAAAAAATTTGCAAATTTTTTTTAATTAAAATGTCTAACTATACTAATACATATATGTAAATTACAAAGTGCCTTAATTGAATATTTAAAATATCAATATTTTTTAGTCTTTATTATCATTAATTTTAAAAAATTTTAGAGGGAAATCCACTTGGATGAGGTGATGCTTTTTCAACAATATCACTAACTTCATTTTCATTGCTTAGAATAAATATTTAACAAATTATGTTATTTTTCAATATTAACTTAAAAGTTTAGATAAATTATATAAATGAAATTATAAAAAAAACATAAGACCTTGAGAATAAAAATAAGCCCAAACGTTCTTTTTGCAAGACTTATAAGAACAAATTTAAAAACTTTTTATAAAAAAATCTTCTATCTTTTAAACTCAGCCTTCAAAATATAAATATAAAGGACATAAAAGGTAACTAGCAAGTTTGAAAACCCTTTTATATAAAAATCGTTTATTTTTTAAGCTCAGCCCTTAAAAAATAAAAGACATAAAAGATGGCTAGTTAAACATATCCACGGTTAAGCACTTATAAGCTAGCGAAGAATATCTTACGTGAGACTAGGCACAAGTGCCAATAATGTCAGTTGCCAAGGCTTAGCTGTGCCCAAAACTTCGACGTAATTTTTGATAAAATTAAAATTGAAATCTTAATATAATTAAATTATAAAAGTATGTTTGGTATGAAATAAAATTTTAATATAATTTTAATAAATATATGCACCTGAAATAGAAAAAGACAAAATTGCCCATTTCAACAGGGAATAAAAAAAAAATCTCCTCCATAGTGCAACGGCAACGGCAACGGCACAGAACCAATAGGCAGCATAGCAGTGAGCCTCAAACAAAAATGCCAAAAATAGTGGAGAGGATGAACATCGAATAGGAAGCGGCGGGTGGGTGATTGTGAAAGTTTGCTTCTATTATCATTCAGATATGAAATCCTTCATCATCAAGGGCAATAAAATGCCAAAGCCCATTGTTGGCTATGAAATACAAGGGTGTATTCCTGTCGTTGATGAGGAAAACCTTTGCGAGGCACTGGAAAGAAGAAGAAGAAGAAGCTTTGCTCATAGCTCTCACTTAAGAGTTTCAGTTAGAGGGAAGAAAGTCCGGCCAAAAAAAAAATGTTAGATGGAAGAAAGGATAAAATGCAAAGGCAACAAATTGTATAAAAAAAAATGCAGAGGCAACATAGAGATGGAAGGATAAAGACGTAAATTCCATGGAATGATGGAA